AAGATTATTTCGTCGACAAAAAGAAACATCAAGGAGGTTGAACAGTCTGGATAAGGCGCTTTATGTAGCTGCAACGATCCAAGCCCCCGCCTGCTGTGAAATAGGTCAAGCGAGGCATTTTTGTTAACAACAGCATGCAGATACATACATTTCGATACTCTTTTTTGCGACACACATGCCGAGGTAGCATCTGGGTCTGTTTTGGCACACAGCTCACGATCACGTCTGCTTCGCTTTTCGATAGTGGTTTTGTCCTCTAAGTCGCCTGAGAGCGACAGAGAGAGGGGGAGAGGTCAAGTATTCAGTGCACAAACCTGGGCAGATCAGTTATGATCGACACGTAGTTAAACCAGAAAAAAAGAAATAATTTGCAGAGTAAAATTTTTTCGCTAAAAGCAAACAGAAATTGCATGGGGAGGGGGGTTGCTGGTTAGTAGTCCAGCCCGTAGAACTGCTTGATGGCGGAGATTTCTAATTCCTTGCCCTTTAGGCCAATGCCCGACGTCTCCACTCTGATGTCTGAATGGTCTGGCCAGTTCGAGGACGTTCTGCGTTTGAACATCCTACCGACAGCGGAAATGGACTGCAGTCTCACTGATTATGTCGACACTGTCTGTGGTGAGTTTGTGTGTTGTTATTACTATAGAGCTTTCTAAACAGGTCGGGTGATAGACGCGCTGACCGAACAGGGGGCACGATGATACAAAATTACCACAAGCCAGGGTGTTCGCGGTCTAACAACGCTTCGATTGAATCCCCAGGAAAGACCTCAACAGCAAGGCCGAAAGAATGGAAGTGTACTGCGGTATTGGTTTAGCACAAAGTATTTAAAACCGAAAAGGAGCCTACGCGTGTGTACAAGGTCGGACTGCAATCGGACCAATCCTATAGTTCCCTTGAGAGTATAGCATGCGGACTCATTTTCCGGCCTATCCAAGTGACTGGTCAGAAAAAGAATTCCGTCGGCTGCTTATGCGATATTATCACGCGCACGGCCTAGGGGCCGATCGATAGTGCGGCGTGGGACGAGTCATCAGGTCGGCATGCGAGCGAGGCGGTTAGGGCTGCTCCTAACACACGGAAGGCGTTATTGGAACTGGGCTCCAACAAGAAATGCCAGAAGTGGATGAGTGCGCGTTGATGATGGGCGTAGGTGCAGGTTCACGCTGCACCAGACAACCGTGGCCTTTATCTGTTTATGGGATTTAAGTCAGACGGGAAGTTAATAAACAGTCTAGCGCTGGATGAGGAAACCACCTGCTGAGTGACATACCTCAGAGGCAGAAACGCTCCCTCGGGAGGGAGGTCAGGCAGGTGGGTTAAAATCCGCGGAAATTATCATGGTGAAAAACGAAAGTCAACCACTTCCGCCCTCAGAGATTATAAAGGTTTTTCTAAATGCAGCAACTCAGCAAACAGTTATTGCATCTGTACTTTCTTTAGTTTAGAAATAGCCTTCAACTGTGTTTTTACTGCGGTTTTGGCTAAGGAGAAAATAATCCACGTAAGCTGGTGATTTCTATGCTAATGTCGTTCAGTTCAGGCAGATCCTGAAGCACGATTCAAATAGACTGCAAAGGCATTAAGAACCGTCGGATCAACAGTACTGACAAGGCCTCTCACTTTAATTTTCAGTATTCTCTATTGTAATCACGGTGGGTTGGGAATTTACACACATTTTTGCAAAATAAGTTTGACTCTACTTCTGTGGTTTCTAAGCTTCTGATGAAACCGAATTATTACTCCTCTTACGTTTCAGCAATTTTGGACATCCCTGTGTACAATAACCGTATCCACTCCCTCCACCTCCTCTTCTCTCTCTACATGGAGTTTAAAAATTCACAGGTAAGTTTTTTCACTTATAAACTCTAACATTTCCATCCGCTCGGATGAGAACATTTATCCCGAAACAGCAGAAACGCGAGTTATATAAGGGAAAGCAGAATACAACTGCCTGTCATCCTTGACTTATCAACTGTTATTCCTGCGTCTTACTACCTAAGTGGTGGACTAATACTTTTGCCTATTTAATAAAAAATTCAAGGGAGACTGTTTTAGTGAGTTTTTTGCCAGCGTAGGGGTCTAAGTAGTGATTTTACTCAGGGCACAACAACCATCACTCCAAATCCCAAGCTGTAGGTAAAAGGCTGAGGGTACCAGAGTGAGAAATGTATTGTGCA